CAAAGAAAAATTTATAAAATTTTTTAGAATTCTGTTATGAGAAACAATTCTTTATCTGCACAAGAAGCTGAGTTTTAAAATTCTTGATTCGATCACGTGATTATTGATAATAATTATTTAAATCTATATCGATATACTGTAGTTTAAAGCAAATAACTATACTGTATAAGACCAAACGTACGTAGATAAAGTTTTTTTTAAGGGTAAAATTTGATTAGTCAGTTTTTAATAATGAGAATAATAGCTAAATAGATTCAATTTGATTGGCCAAACCAACATTGAGATGTGTATTTCTTATGCACGCCACAGTCACAGTTTACCACAACCAAAAAAAACATTAGTTGTTATTAGTTGTTACTTCGCCTTCCACAACCCTTTTTTTTCCAGTGGTGGGCTCCGAATCAACGTCCCCACACACCACCAGTTCGCCCCCACTCATCATTTTCAGTGGACGACCCAACGTTGCCACCACCCACTGTCCAAGGAAACTCGCAGATTTAACTAGAGTTTTAACGACCCTGCAGTATACCTGAGACGGAGGTCAAGTGGCTCAATACTTGTTATATATCGGAGATCTAGCTTTGAAATTCTGATCGATTTAGCTTGAACTTTGGCAAATTAAATAATTATAATAAAATAAACGAAGATACAAATATTGTTAACTTGCCGGTCTCATTACAAATTTTAAATAAGTTTCAACTAGATTATCTAGACGGAGCTTATCTGATTTGTCAGCCCTTTTCAAGGACACTAACTTAATAATGAGCACACAGAAGGACACTTCCGCTCCCGTTAGCACGGAGGCAACGAGTAAGCAAAATGATATCAGCACTAGCACAGCTTCAACTGGAAACGAGATAAAGGATAGTCATGTTGATAAAAAGGATCATGGAAAGTCTACTGGAACTGTAGAACATACTACTTCTAACGCAAGTTCCAACGCTGTGTCTTCTTTACCTGTGTCTCCAACGCCAAACTTTTATTATGCCAATGGTTATGCTGACCCACAGACTATCGCTGCCGGAGAATATCATGCCGCCATGGCCGCAGGATATGATCCGAGCGATCCAAACGTTTTCTCGGCCTATGGCCATTATGGGATGCATCCATCATATTCTCAATATTATCCTGCAGAATACGGGACTGGGTTTCCTGGAACACCACCTCTTCAAGGGCAGACATCACCTTCTCTTGCACCGCAACCTTTGAGTCCTTATTTTACTGCCACTAGCCCACCAATTGCTTATTACCATCCCACATCACCTCAAGTTGGTCCGACTGGGATTATTCACTCACCTCCCATGCATCCGTACCTGTATTCACCACAATCTCCTTATGGTGTACTTCATACGCTCTCACCTACACTTTCACAATCTTCCTCATCCGCTCCTAATTCTCCGCCCCCACAATATTTACCTGGTCCTGGTGTCCCTTCGCCTAAAGCTGGCCCTTTGAATGGCAATGGCCGTGGCAGTGTCAATCGCCCCCCTCACTATAATTACGATCGAAGAAATTCCGGTTCCCATCAGATACCTAACCTTCCCAATTTTAATAATCCGACAAAAACCACCAATATTTATATTCGTGGTTTACCACCTAATACAACTGACGAATCTTTGCACAATATGTGTTCGATGTGAGTGCTTCATTCTTCGTATTCTTGCTTTGGCTAAACCGAGGACATAATCCATGGCAAATATGTAAAATGTGTACAAATGTACACTACATAAAAATTATTAGTAAATTTATTTTGTGAACCCAAAATTTGTTTATGAATTATAACCACGTTGGATATTTATCAGATATCATAGCGATAGTAATATATTGATAATAATAATAGTCTTTAACATTCTTTCTCTTTGAAAACATACCGTTAAAAGATACGGTTCTATTACTTCATCGAAAGCTATTATAGATCAAAAACAAGGCGACTGTAAAGGTTACGGCTTTGTTATGTATGAATCTGAAGATCAAGCCAAGCATGCTATTGAACAATTGACGCGATTGGGATTGCAAGTTTCCTTCGCCAAGGTTGGATATGTGAGTGTAACACGCATGTTTGTGACTTTTATTTCCTGTTTGGCATATATTACCGTATTTTGTTTCAGAAAATAATTATCCAAATATCATTGTAAATTTTAAAATTATATAGGAATCATTCAGCACTCGATTGAAGAACCTTCAGGATTTAGCTTCTACAAACATATACTTGTCCAATTTGCCTTTGGATATGAATGAACAAGTAAGCATTAAGATGCATTTGTTCTTTAATAACGTAGACTTATGAAATTTCTAATTTTATAGCAATTAGAAGAGTTGTTCAAGCCTTATAAAGTCGTATCTAACAGAATCCTCAGGGATACTAGCGGAACAAGTCGTGGAGTTGGATTTGCTAGGTAAATTTTTTTTTTTTTTTTTGAACTGCTGAAATTGCTGAATTATGCTGTACAAGTTTTACAGTAGACACTCTTTAGAGAGAGCTCTTTGGTACGATTACATTACAAAGTTTAATACCCTTAAATGTAAAGTAGTCGGGTAATTTAGTAATGCAGAATACTTTTAAAAACGTTTACAGTTATTATGTCACAATGGAATAAATAGAATATCATTATCACTATTTATACTAATAATGCTATTATTATTATTATTATTATTAATTCAGAATGGAAGACCGTGATTCTGCTTTGGCTATAATTCAAAAGTTTAATGGATATCAACTTACTGGAGCCAATTTACCCCTGCAAGTTCGATTTGCTGATTCTTTGGCACAGAAGAAGCTAAAAGGGCAGACCGCTAAGAGACGTATGTGGAGAACCACCAGAGAATTTCAATCGTTGGGGGGCGTGAGTGTTAATACGATTCTTTGCTATTTATAAATAAACGTGTTTTCAAATATGAATTTAAAATCATTGTCGAGCAACTCCGCACAAATCGAGTATTTATTAGTAATTTCTGCCCTTTAGAGAATCATTCCACAAGTTCCTGTTACTCCGGAGCATATGTTGGGTATGGCGGCACCTGGCTCTCCACCAGGTCACGGGGCTTATCTTCAATATTATTCTGAAGGAGTTCAACCTCCAGGGTATGCATTTGGCATTACATTTATTCATTGAAAACAGCTCTGTCCATAACTACATCATTGAATTTTAAAATTTCCTTAGAGCTTACCCTGCTGGTTCAATTTCTCCTCCATTCGGCCCCCAATATGTTCCGCGGTATTACCAACCGCTTTATTCGGGACCAATTATACACCATGGAACGGAAGGTCAAATGGTGGCTGCTGATACGTCAGCACCAAATCCGCCTGAAACCATAGCTAATAACGACGTTCCCCTCATAGTTACTAGCGACCCTACCGAAGAATTGAGTGAATTGGTTCAAAAGAAGCTGAATGTTGATGGCGGTGAGAATGATGCTGGAGCTGAAGGCGTAGATACAAAATAAAAAGTAGTGTTTACATATGTATACAATTTTCTATATATACGCTGACACTTCGATAGGTGAGATATATAACGAATTTTGAACATTCTTGATTTATTTTCGTTCAGCTTATTGCTTCGAATATATTTTAATGATCAAGTGCATTTTGTTTCAATATTTATTTTCCCGTCATTTAGAGTTGTGTCGGCAGTACTTTGCTTTTACCTGAACATTTTACTTTATTTTATTTTATTATTTTATTTTATTTTATTTTTTTTTATTTCTCGTATCCTTTTTTTTTTTTTTTTTTTCGTTTTTTGTTCCTTCTTTATGAGCGAGTTGGTCATTGTTAGACTGGCTTTGATAAAATTACATGATTCTTTTACACCTTTATCCCTTCATTTCTTGTTTACCAATCTCGCGTATTGCAAAAAATGGACGTTAGTTATATATGTAAAATTTTTTACTATGGACTTTTCATCATCCTTGAACCCTCATTAAACTCAAAACAATTATCGACCGTTTACAATTCTATTAAATTCCACAAATCATAATCTTGTAACCAACAAGCTAAATCTACGGTTGAACTCTTTAGTTTAACATTCTTCTATCCCTTGTTTTTGTTCGCAATACCGATATTGGCAACTTTAATTATGCCATACTAAGGTTTGACAATATGCCAGGTGATGAATCAAAATTCCACAATATCATTTTGAATAAATCATCGGTAATGCACATTTTTGATAGCCATTGCCTTTTCAACGAAACATTTTTAAATATGTTTTAATGAAGTTTGCTTCATGCGTTAATTAAATTTAAATTTTATCCACTTTGCAGTATCGTTTGCGAAAAAAAATTACTCCTTTGTTAAATAGGCTTTGTTGGTTTGGTCGAATGTATTGGATCAAATGAGGTGATAATCGTCTTGATTAATAAGCAATTGTTTCTAGCGTTTGGTGATATAATTTATTTACAAATTATGCTTCTTTTAACTCAAAAAGACAATTTCAAGGTAAAATTTTAATCATTTATCATATCGAAAAATTAGATTTTTTTTCCTCCTGATAGTACTATATTACGTAAATGGCAGTATAGTGGGAGTCCAATTATATTTTATTTATTTATTTTGGCTTTTCTTTATTTGTATTATTATTATTGGAATCTGTAGTTTTTTTAAATACAGCATAAATTCTACATATTTACCTTCATTTGCTTGTAGTTTTTTTGTAAAATTGTATATAGTGTCTCTAAAATTGGTAATAATAAAATTGCTACGTACGTTATATATAATATATATATGTATGATGTAAGTTTATTCCAATGGTAAATCTATTTTATTAGTGGAATAATGAATAAAATAGAGTACAGCCTATATTAGCCCGGCTGGCGTAATCGGATAACGCACCAGACTTCTAAGGTGGAATCTGGGGATTGCGGGTTCGAGTCCCGCGTCGGGTATAATCTCACATTTTTGCATTGGTTGGTTGTCCGTTTTACACAAATTCAAATTGTTTTCTTTTCAAACATTAATAAACAACTTTGTTTATTTTATCTTGTCTGCAGTGATTCAACTAAGCAAAATGAGCGGTAGTTCGACACATCCAGCCGAGAATGCAGAGCTGCCTGTTCAAGAATCTTCTCTTCCAACAATTCAGGCTGCTGACCTTACGACTATACAAGTCTTAACAGAGGAAGCTACCAAAGATTTTATTTTACAAGATTATGAAAGTGCGGTTACCAAGTTTTCAGATGCTTCTGAAATAATGTAAGATTCAACGCGTATAATAAATTCCATTATGCGTTAAACGCGTAAAGGGAACAAATTATACCAATTTCACGTCACTTGGCACACCTTGCTTTTTTCTAAGATAATTTTTTATAGTTTGTGTTCTAATTTCACTTCTCAGTGGCCATTGTTACGGTGTCGATTCAGAAGAGTATGCTGAAGCCCTATACAAATATGGTAATGCACTACTTGAAAACTCTCGAACTCAAAATGCTGTTCTTGGACATCAAGCAATTCCACAAACTTCCTCAACAGACGTTCCAATTGGTAATGACAGAATTTATATATCTTTTTTGTATGCATTAATTTACTCTTGTCAAATTAAACGTTATATTGTTTGAAGATGATCTTCAGGCCAATACTTCGCGCTTCCATTTTGAAGGAGATGATGAAAGTGATGGTGGTCAAACCGAAAACGATGGCAATGTCGATTTACAGGCTGAGGAAGCTAGTGCATCTGAAGTATTAGAGGAACAAGGAGACGATCTCAGTCTTGCTTGGGAAATATTAGAATATTCTCGTGATATATTTTCTCACATTAAAACAGAATCAGCAAAGAAGTCTCTTGGAGAAGTCTATATTAAATTGGGCGATGTTTCTCTTGAAAATGGTAATCATTCCCTTCTTTGCTTTTACTTCACTATACAGTTATAAACGTCTTGTAGCATCTGATTGCCTCAAATTTTAAAATCTATTAACTCGGCATAAAGTAATGCTTTCAAAAACTTTATAGACCTTATCATGAACAATATAATCGTTGTGAATTTTAAACCATATTACCTTACCACTGAGTTAACAGACTTTAAAATTGAAGCAATTTATTATTCATTAAACATCTGATAAAATGATCTAATCCTTTCATTTAATATATTTATAGAAAAATTCGATCAAGCAGCAGTTGATTATAGAGAAGGTGTTAAGCTAAAAACAGAGACACTTCCTGAAGGCGATCGGCAGATAGCAGAGGCATATCCTTTATTAATTCATATTCTATACATTTATTTTTATCATGAAATTAGACCTTAACTCTTTATAATACTCATTGGAGATTATCCTTGGCACTTGAATTGATTCCGGACAGATCCAATCAAGATGAGGCCATCGTACATGTACAAAAGGCCATAGAAGTATTGAATAAACGTAAAGAAATCCTGCAGGCACAACTGAATGACTATCAGGAAACGTGTGGCAAAGGAAAAAAAATAGCTACAGCCGACGATGATACTACATTGATTGATAAAGAAATAAAGGATATTGATGAATTCCTTGTGGAAATGGAATCCAAGGTATGTGTTTTTTTTAAATTGGTTATTAATAGTTGGCTTGATTTTCTAAATAATCAAATAATTGTTATTTAAAGATCGCGGATATTCAGGCGGCAAAACTTTCTCAAGAACAAACAATACAGAAACCCAGTGATATTGCGCTTGAGGAATATGTGAAACTGCTTTCTTCATGCGAATCATCATCTGAAGCGATAGAGACATCATCAACAACTCCTGTGAACGATTTGACATCACTTATTAAAAGAAAGACGACTAATAATAATAATGCGACTGATGCTTCCAAAAATAATACAACGTCTGAGGCACCGATACAAGAAGAAAAGAAACGAAGAGCAGAAATAAAGACTGATATGGATGAAAATGAAGAAAATGAATTGAATCCGAACAAGAAAGTCAAACAAGAACTTTAGTAATTCTGGCCAATAGTGAAAAAAATCGGCTAAAGCTAATTTTCGGCTTAGCCGGTCGATTTTTTTCAGAATCATTTGATCAATTTTTATAATGATAATAATTCACACATAAGCTTTTAATCATTACGAAAAGGTTTTTTGTATATATATATTGCAAATAGCAAGTAATAAATTGTTATAATAAGCCGTTGATGAAACTTTAAGAAAATTTTGTTCTAACACATTAATCAAACATATCATCACGGTTAGAGATATGTCAAATCTATGCATTTTTATAAAATTGTGCGATTTGTTTAGCGTGATCTTGACAAATTAGACTAATTGTTATATGGATTTACGTTAATTTTTATAATTTAACAAACTTTTTTTTTATTGTGAACTTTAATGTTATCAAAATAAATTGAAATGATTTTAACAAGCTCAAATTGTCAATTTCATTTACAGAACACCGAGATTGTTAAAGATTGTAGCTTTATATAAAATTTAATTGATTTAAACAACTATAAGTTGTATTAAAATAATATAGTGCAGGAATCTTTAAACCAGCATAGCGGTGATTTGCCGTGATCGAAGCAAATCGCAAAAGTATGTGGTGTACTGTGATTTGCTTCGATTTGCTTGACATTTTTAGTAAATATATATAATAAAATATTTTATAATAGTTCAAAGAAATAAAAATTTTATGGCAACATTTTTTTTAATTAAAAAAAACCACAAGTTTCTTTACTAGATAAATTTTAAATTTTATACTAATTCGTACTTGAGTATATTTATTCACCGCGGTGGCACTAATTTATCGCCTCTCACATGTTCAACCAATCAAATTTTAAGATCAGGTGTAACGTAGCACAATTAGAAAATTTAAGGGACGGAGGCAAGTCATGTGATCAACATCCAATCAAATTATAGAATTTCGATGATCGCCGGCGAAGAAAAATACAAAAAACAGCAGTTAGGATGCTTTTTTTAAATCCTAAAATTAATTGAAAAAATTATTAAATATGAGTTGCTGCCACTTTAGACATTTCCAAATTTAAAACAAATGTTCATTTTATCAAAAATCATCTATAACTCAAAACTTTGTATATGAAACTACTCTTCACATTTTAACAAAAAAAATTCCTCACAAAATTTTACTATAAAAAATCTTTTTTTCTAACCCTAAAACTAACTCTAACACTAACTTTACCTCACCCTAACCCTAACTAACAAAAAATAGTTTGTTTTGATTTCATGTTATGTTTTGCAGAGGTAGTGATTTAAGCCAGCTATAGCAGCTATGGCTAAGCTGGCTTAGCCAACTGAGCCAGCCAATGCAATAAGATTGGCTGGCTAATGCAGCTAAAGATCATATCATATAATTTAGTATATTATAAAATTTAGCAAATTTCAAAAAAAATAATAAAATACAAGTTCACAACTCTCCTTGACGATCACTTGTACCAAATTTTTCCACCAAACAGAAACAAAAATTTTGTTGAAGTAGCTGATATGACTATCAGACGGTTCTTGCAAAGATTAACCTTTGTGTTGGGGGACTTCTTTGGCATATTTGGCATGCAAGCCAGAAGCATTGAAATACAAGATAACTGGCCAGGTGCCCTTATATACAAAATTTTGGTGATAAGAGCCTGAAGGAAAAAAGATCTTTTTGTTGACGAAGTAACCAAGAGGCAACAAAGAAAAGGGAAACAACAAATGAGTTTCTTTAACACACTTCTTGGAAAATTTAGAGTACCTGTTTTTGACAAAAGCCATATATTTTCTACCATATTTCTGCTGTTTTGGAATTTTTTGGCCAAAAAGTGGGAAAATCAGTATACCTCTCCAAAAGATTGGCAGTGTTTACTCCTTCCAAATTAGAACGTGTCTACCAAAATGAAACCTTTTATGAGCTTATTTGGATTCTGCTTTGCCAAATAAACAATAATGACAGTACTGTTTACAGTATAGGGGATCGGAGGAATTATATGTAGAAATTTCTTAATATTAGATGTTTTTTATTCTTTCCACTTCTTTTTAATATATATAGTATTAGATTAGATTTTTTTTCTATGCAACATTATATAATTTTTATAGCCTAATACAGGCAATAATAGTGTCGTTATGGCCATCTTTTTTTCGGCCTTTTTCTTCTTGTTTCCTTTTTTATTTTGTTTGTTTTTTTTTAGTTTCATTTAGTTTAAACTTTCCCTCTTTTTTAGTTTTCCTTTTATTTTATATTTGTTTTTTCTTTGTTTTTCGTTAGTAGTTCTTCTACCTAGAAGACTAGGAGAAGAAAGTTTGGAAAGAAGGCAGTCATGATGGGCTAGTGAACCAGTGCAGTGATCCGGAAATAGGTTAGTTGAAGAGAAGTAAGCTGAACCTAACCGGGAAGATTGAACTTATCTTTGGCAGGTCGCATATAGATTCAATTGGAAACCGGGTGAGCCACATTTCAGATTTTTTGCCATAAGGCATGATGTAATTCGGACAAATCCTTTGGGAATTGTAGTATCTCATCAATAAAGCAGACATGTAACATAGCTGTCAAATTTTAAAAAAATAAAATAAAATAAAATACAAGTTAAATTTATTAAAATTTTCTAAAAGTATAACTATTAGTTAGCCAATTAGCCAATATTTTAGTCGGCTGGCTTAGCTAGCTGACTAAAACCTTATCCCTTAATATGTAGACCAACGCAGACAAATTTGCCTGCATTTTTGCACTTTTTTAGCTCTGATTTACTTTTTTA